CAGCATGGTCCCTAATAGGCACTCATTAAATGTTTAAAATAATTAAAGTCAAAACAATCCTGCTTGCTTCTCTCATCCAGGCCATCAGGACAGATTTATATCCCATTCTATAGGCCCCAGACACTAATCCTCTCCCTTGGATGGCAGGCCCCCTTGGAATCCAATCAACAAGGTACTGTTGCAACTCACATGGGCTAACTGCTTTTCCTGTTACTATGCCTCAGATGGCTTAATCACACCCAATAAGTGACCCTCCTACACTATCGCTAAGAAAACTGTGGCTAAAAACACGTTTCCTTCACTTTCAGCTCATGCTGACTAGTCAAAAAGCTTTGTGAACTTAAGAAACCTAAGTTAAAAAAAAATAAAAATTCATGACTACAGAACGTGAAGATACTGAAGCTCCCCTCTCCCCCCCAAAAAGCTATAGTCAGAAACCATCACAGTCGGCTTCCTAGGTGGTTCCTTATTCTTGGTTACTGTTCAGTCAATGACTAAATCTTTCCTAGAAACCCTTGGAAAGTGGGACTGTAACATGTAAGGTTTTATAGTATCTTTCCTCCCAGAAGCCTGATGCATTTTCTTGATTCTGAATCCATATCTCACACTTTGGTTACTTTTCAACCTAATCAGAGAATTTCCTTATCATAGTTGACTATATACTTGATTTTCTTACACTATGTTGGAAGGCAAATGTATAATACACATAAACAAGCAAACTATGATAGAGTAATCCCTGAACCTAGACAAAGTTAAGAGTGAGAATAGATGAGGTATAACTTCAAAGATAATGGAGGAAGGTCCTCTTTTCCCAAGTATTTTTTTTTGCAACTCCTGATCTATGAAATTCTGTATTGATAACTCCAAACTTGAGTTGTTGCTGTTATGTGCCGTTGAGTTGCCTGTGACTCATAGTGACCCTATGTACAACAGCCCTAAAACCTGTTTTATCCTGTGCCAATCTCACTGTCTCTGACACACCTACCTCAATTACCCCAGTCACTGAATCAATCCACCTCATAGAGGGTCTCCTCTCCTCTGTGGTCCCTCCACACTCCCAAGCATGGTGTTGCTCTCCAAGGACTGGTCTTGCCTTGCAACATGTCCAAAGTATGACAGATGAAGCCTCAAAATCCTTGCCTCCAAGAACAGCCCGGTTGAACTCTCTCTCTAGGACGAACCTGTCTGTTTTCTTAGCAGTCCATGATATATTCAATACTCTTCTCCAACACCACAGCTCAAAGGCATCAATTCTCCTTCTGTCAGCCCTAATGACTGTCCAGCTCTCTGACGCATAGCAAGTGATTGCAAAGATCACTGTTTGTATCAGGCGTACCTTAGTCTCCAGAGTGACATCATTGTTCTTCAGTACTTTGGCGAGGTCTCTAACAGCAGACTTTCCCATTGCAATACATCTTTTTTTTTGCAATACATCTTTTAATTTCCTGGCTGTTGGTGCCAAGAGTGTTGATTGTGAAGCCAAGCAAACTAAAGCTGTTAACAATCTCAATCTCTTCACCATCTATCATGATGTTGCCAATTGGCCCATTGGTGAGAATTTCTGTTTTCTTGATATTGAGCCTCAATCCATATTGAAGGCTGCAGTCCTTGACCTTCTGCAGCAAGTGCTTCAGGTCCTTCTCAGTTTCAGCAAGCAGGGTTGTGTCATGTGCATAACGCCAAACCTGTGTATTATCTTAGAAAAGCAAAAATCTCCTGGAAGAATTAATACTGTGACTGTTGTCACAGACATCTTGTAGTTGTTAAACGCCATTTAGTCAAATGAATCGTAGTGACTCTGTACAACAGCTCTGAACCCTGCTTTATGTTGTGCCCACCTCATCAGCTTCGATACACCCACCTCCATTTCTCAGTCACTGAATCAATCCATCTCGTCCAGGGTCATTCTCTCTGCGTTGTCCCTCCATCCTCCCAAGCATGATATCTCTCTCCAAGGACCAGTCCTTCCTTGTAACATGCCCAAAGTATGTCAGATGGAGCTTCAGAATACTTGCTTCCAAGGAGCAGCCTGGTTTTACCCTCTCCAAGCAAACCTGTTTGTTCTCCTAGCAGCTATGGTATATTCAATACTCATTAACACCATAACACAAAAGCATCAATTCTATCATCCCTAATCATTTTATTGACCTATTTTCTGATGCATAGCAAGCAACTGGAAGACCACGGCCTGGATCAGGCACACCTTAGTCTCCAGACTGACATCATTGCTCCTCAATACTATGGAGAGGTCCCTGACAGCAGATTTTCCCAAGGAAATTTGTCTTTTGATTTTCTTGCTACTTCTTGATATTTTCTTTAATGTAGATTTTATTAAGAGGGGATGTACAGAAGAAAGGGACAGAATAACACTAGGGTATAGGAAATGGCAAAGATTAGAGAGGGTTAAAAAACAGAACAAACCAATCTATACTTACATAATTTTTTTCTATTCCTGGCTTAACAAGTTAAGAAAATAAAAGAACATGGGGGACAAGACTGAGGTTGATGGGCACTGTACAAAGGCTAGATATATCTGAGTCTAAAAACAGGAAGAACAAATTCCATTTATAGTATGAAATGTCCCTGCGTGGTGCCAACAGTTATCTGCCACAGCTAACTGAAAGGTTAGAGGGTTGAATTCATGTAGTGATACCTTAGAAGAAAGGCCTGGCAATCTATTTCCAAAAATTCAGTCAAGGGCACACATGATGGCATGACTTATGTGGCTTATAAAATGCTCTAGCTAGTCTCTGAGTTTGAGGAAAATTAATTTTAAACCCAGAGAAACCTGGTGGTTTCTAAAATGACTACAGAAAGATCTGACACAGAAGTTCCTTGGGAAAATCATAATTTTCTGGGATATGGAAGGAACATATCATCTGAACATGAAGACCATGACCAGAAGACAGAGGACTCAAATTCCTTACTTTGGTCTCTCTCATTGCCACTGAGTCTGAACCAACTCATAGCTGACTCTTCTTTGGGTTTCTGTGGTTATAAACTGCACAGGAGACTGCTCATCTTTTTCCCCAGAAGCAGGTGGATTCCAACAGCCAGAGAGACCTAATCTTCGGGTTAGCAGCGCAAGTGTGGACAGACTACCCCACCACATACCAAGAAGTGTCCAAAGCAAAATGATCCACCTTAATTATTTCTTTCTGGCCCTTAAAAGGGAAAAATGTTTGGTCCCTCAATTTGGACATTTCCTAGAATACCAAGAGCACAACTGGTATATTTATGCATTTAAGAGGATAAGTAACCAAAGGATAGCTTTTTGCCTAGATTGATAAAAAGAGTAAGACAAAACAAACTGTCTAAGGAGCACAATCATGGAGTAAGTATGACCCTAGAGGGGAATGACACAGGAATTTGGCTGGAATATGAAAACACAATCACTTGATGGCACATCTCCCAAAGAAAAGCAAGATTAGTCTCATCTGTCTCTTATCTCTGACCTTCCTGAATAAGAAAAAGATTGAGGTATGCATCTGTGGGAAGACTGACACTATTTATACTGCTATGTAGTTTGAAAACCGACTGTTACTGACTAGATCCCAACATAAAGACAGTGGGATTGGTTCTTTTTCAACTTACAGAGTTTGAGTATTTTAACATACACATGTACTTTGTAATACAACTGAAATATAACGATAAAACACACTGGTATAATTGAAGGGGAAAAGGAAGAAATCCAGCAGACGCCAATCTTTAGGGGGCTAAAGAGGTCAGTAGATTGTTAAAAATATTTAAGGATGCGCAAACTCCTCTACCTTAATAATCCATCTTCCTTTTCTCTATTCATCCCTTACCCCAAATATTCATTGTCTGACCTAACTTCATCAAAGAAACCTGGGTTCCTGAAGAAAGAGACAAAGAACAAGATGTGATGCCAACTGTCTGGAATGGAATTTCTTCCCCAAATGCTGTCCTCAGTGGTAAAAGCTCTTATCTTCAGGCTTGTTTTCACCTAACTTCACTACCTAAGTTTAACCCAAGTTTCACTATCTGTGATCAAAAAACTCCTTGAGGGTTAAGGTTCTCAAAGTTCCTTTCCAATGCAGATAATGAAATCGCTGGTACCCTCCTTTAGGTCGGAGATACAAATATCCATCCTAACCCTCATAACTAAATGGGAAAGATATACACAAACTATTCCCTCCAGGCAACTTCGCTTTTTCAAAGGGCATAGACTGTAGAACTAAATAAGAACTAAATAGTGTGCTGTCTAAACTAGCTAATAAGGGCAAATAAAAGCATAAAACCTGAGTTTGGAGTAGCCAACAATGACATAAAATAAGAACGCTTTTGTCTTCTTCATTCCCAAGTTCCAGAGCCTTTGGTACAGCTTCAGCGTTTCTAGTAGGTTAATTAAATTGTCGGGCCCTGCTTCTCTTTCCCAACTTTACTCTTGTGACAATGAAAAACCTTCATTCACGTCAGTTCTCCCTCCCTGAATCCAATCTTGGCTCAACTCAGGGATCCCTAAATTCTTTTTACAATAGCCACTTTCTCGGAACATAATGCCTCTTAACCAACTAAGAATGCTTCTCAGGTCCTTCCAGTTAGACAGCTCGAGAGAGACCCTACTACCTTGGTTATGCTGAGGACCCCAGGCGTCAGGCTGGCCCCTCTCATCTCCCGGCAAATGGGCTTACCTCACCGCGGCCCCGTCCCTTCCCGTCCGCTCCTCCCTCAGCGCTGTTTAACGAGGCCTGCCCCCACCTCACACCAGCCTCGGGCCTGCGCGCTCGGCCCCCGGGCCCGCCGCCGCCAGCTCCCAGCCGCCCCCCCCCCCACTCGCCAACTTCAGCCTCCCAGCCCGCCCGGCCCCCTCCTCGGCTCCCCCATTGGGCCTGCCGGGATCCGGCCCCCTTCTCCACTCGCCAGTAGGCCACTCTATCACTTCGTTTAGGCCCAGGCCCGCCATCGTTCCAGGCCAGGCCGCCCTTATTTCCCTGGCGCCTCCTCCCGTGCCCTTCTGGGCTTCCACTAGCCTGTACCTGGGGTTCTGTCTCCTCCGTCCGGCCCAAGCCTGTGTCGAACAGACAAACAGCTGCAGCTCAACCAAACCCTCCTACCCCTCCTCCTACCCCTCCTCCTTGTCCAGGGCGGGGGCCCCAACCAATAGCATGATTGCCCGCCCACCGTTGAGGGTGGGCGATGTGTGCACTCACCCGCCAATCCTCTGGAGAAAGGTAGGACCCATTCAGGGCAGTCACCAACGAGGACGAACAGGACGGATTGCACACCAATAGAAGGCAAAAAACCTTGAAGATGGACAAGTTGTGGAGCCATTAAAGAGCAAGCTCCCTGAGACAGAGGGCGGAACACCGTTGACAGGCGTATGTGTCAACTAATGAACACTAGACACCCTATGACCCCGCCTTTTGACTCATAAACATCTAATCAGGTGAGTGGTGGAGGCGGGTTAAAGTGAAACCTTAACCAGTACGGAGATAAAGCGGACTTGATGGGCAAGCAAGAGGTCTATAGGCAGGCTGCTTGACTTTCACCCCTCCTCCTTGGTTTGGCGGCGGGTTGTGGACGTGGTTTCAGCTCTGCCCTTTAGACAAATTCGCGGGCCAAAAGAGATATCTCGTCTAGGGACTTGGAACCAGGGAATATAAGTAACCCTTGTATCAGTGTTTTTCTTTTGGTGGCAACAGAGTTCAAGAAAGGATTTTTCGAGTGGCCCGTGAATGGTCTGGGATTTTTTTTTTGTGGGAGGAGACGATGGCAATAGAGGAGAAATGGTAGTTTTAAAAATGGTAGTTTAACCCTTTCATAACACTTTTTCATATATAAAGTTGAAGAAAAACATCTTTAGAAAACTTTGTTATCTGTGTGATTCGGAAAAAAAAGTAGTGTCAAGGAGAATTACCAGGAACTTCCAATCACATACTGTTTTTAAGCCTTTAAAAATTCCGAAACTGGGGTGG